GACGCTCATAAGAAGAATGTCAACTACCACAGAGATATATGGTGAGCATCCAAAAGAGGTGGCTCCCAAAGAGTTTGCCTCCACCATGCATTTTATGCAGAAATGTAATTTAATAAAATTATGGGCGAGCAGTGAAACGCTGCGGCGTTAAAAAGAGGAGTATTCGCAGCATGGTGTGGTTAAATATATTCCTGGCAGTTAATAAGTTAGCAGTAAAGCGTAGGGATATTAACAAGCTTCGATATTTCAAAACATACATAAGACCGTATAACTATTGTTATTTTAATCAGCTCTTAATTATAATTTAGTTTTCTCCTCTTCTTACTGTAGGGCCTACAACGTTTCTGATACCATTTGGCTGTTTGAATTTAATATTATAAAAATATTGTAGCAATATTAATGTACTATACAATTAACGCATCTGGCCAATCCCCAGGTCGACTGCCAACAACATGATTATGGAAATTTATACAAGAACAAATGAGCCCAAAACGACTCCACTTCGATGTCGATGTTAAGAATGGCGCTAGACTGGAGGAACACCCGCGAGGAAGCAGACGAGAGAGTTAGATGATGGAGTTAAAAAGCAATAATAACAAGAAAAGAATGCTAAAGTCGAGCAAGCTCAACTCTTAAATACCCTGTACCTCCCACAAAAGAGGAAAAAATGAAAAAAAAAAATTTTTAATAATTAAAAAAAAGTATTCCAATATGTTATATGTATTAGAATAAACAAATAAACTTGACCTGCCTAGGGCTTATGGGAATCTGGATACTGAGTTTGGTTATTCTAGCTCTTGTACCTTCTGAGATACTTGCACTCATACAGACGGACGGACGGACAGACGGGTAGACGGACGGACGACCATGGCTATATCGACTCGGCTTGTCACCCTGATCAAGAATATATACAGGGTGCGTCATCTGTTATGTCAGTATGTAAACATTGAATATCTTTGAAAATAAACAACCGATTTTCAAGTATGAGATATTTTTATTTAATTTGGTTCTGTACAATTTCTTGAACTGAGGTTTCCAACACTGCTCTACTAAAGTCAATCGGTTCACTAATGACAAAGTTATTCAATATTTACATACCGACATAAAAGATGGCGCACCCTGTATACTTTGTGGGGTCTGCCACGCCTCCTTCTGTGTGTTACATACATTCGCACAAAACTAGTATAGCCTTTCACCCTTTGGGTACAAGCTATAAAAATGGTAATTTGTATCAACAGCCCATTTCTTGATTTATTAAAATAAAATAAAAATAATGCTTACTCGGAAATCAAATTATGTATCTGTTGCTTATTAATTAAACCCCTATACCCAAAAGTTCAAAAGGGTATAGTATTTATGATGAGAAGAGTCGATAAAGCCATGTCTGATTGTTCGTGTATCTTTCAGTGCGAACGAAATGAACTCTCTAAGAACTAGAGCTAGAAAAACACTTTAATGCTTAGTTACCATGGCAAAGTTCTTCTTTAAATATGTTGTATGGGTATTTCCTTCAACCATAAATATTTTCCATGAATATTGAATAATAAGACAAGCCAGAACGAGGGTCAGCAAAATAAAACAAACTCGCACAAGACATCTGTACACAAAATGTGGTGCATCTAGATAGTATAGTCTCTAAGATGCAGCTGTTCAGCCGGACAGATAGACAGACAGACATGGCTAGATCGGAACTAGTCGTGTCATGCTGATTAAAAATACATGTACTTTGTGTGCCACGCCTCCTTCTGTCTACTACATTTTTCGCTTTTCACAAACCTAATACACCCTAGCTTAGGTATAGACTGTAATACATATGGGATTAGTTTCTTGCTTAAGAACACCACAAAAATTGCACCATTGCGCGGAGATTTTTAATGAATTGAAGTCGGCCTACCCGGCATTAAGCCATTACGCTGAGAAACAAAAAGAGGCAACAAGAACTCCTGCGCTGTAATCGAGTTGTGTTTTAAAAAACAGTTCTTCAAATCTCATATGCGTATTACAGTTTGCAAAAACATCACAGACACATATGCGGGTATTTATTGCCAAACAAATAAATGTGAGCAGAAAGATCAATTTCCCCCGGAGAAGGAGATGGCTGGCAGCAGCCCTCCATGCGAATTTTATACTGAACTTCAGCATTGCCAAAGCTTCTGGTTCGGTTGAGTCCCAAGTTCGTGCCAATGTCTACCTACCATTTGGCTGGGTCTCAAGAAAAATCCAAACTTGTGCCCATCTATCGCTCGACTGCACATGTTAAAAATAAATTCCAGATGCATTCTCAATTCCCCAGCTCACTAATGCAAAATGTTGCGGTCTGTTTGCATTAAAACTTAGACTTGGCTGCGCTCGCACCGTCGTTTTGGCAAGCATCCTGGATTGTCCTTGGAGAGCTACGAACAATTTTGCCTTCGATTTGCGTGTGACAGTTGACAGATGCAGGAGCACTTTATTGTCGCCTCCATCGCCGCCATTTCAGTTGCATTGGCTGCGTATTACCAGGGCCATTGTGTGCACTGGACATTAACCCAATTGGTTGGGACTTGTTTACCGGTGGCACATGTCGCATCATTATTAAGAGAAGATACATCTATAGAATATACGTGTACTAATATATATTTTAAGCACAATGTGGACATCTCTTTGTGTGTGGCGCATAAAATGTGTTGAAATTATTGGCGCGCATTGCTTGGCCTCCTTTCCTGCTTGACTTTTGGGCAGCGCCAGAGGCAGCAGCTCATTTACTTTCGCTGATTTTGTGGAAAAGAATTCGGTTCGTTGTTATTTTTGGCAACTGATATAAATGAACGGAACTCGGCGCTGCTCAGTCGTTGATGTCTGTGCCTCCGTCGCGTCGCCTCACTGCGACAACATTTTCCATTTTTTACAGCCTTTATTAATATTAATGATGCCCCGAGCCATGCCACAAATGTTGCAAAATATGCTCACCATTTGCCCCTTATCTTATGCGGCTACTGAGTAGCAAGCATCCTTTGTCTTGGACGTGGTTTTCTATTATTGGATTTGATTTATTCGGAGTTAGTCAGCATAAGCTGATTGTTGGTTTACTCCTAAAGAGTTTTCTGCTGTTGCTGTCAAATGTAAACAAAACTGAAGGATGGCCCCCACTTCATAAAAGTTAGTTGGACTCACGAGTACTATGAGCGCCATAAATACATCAAAAATATACAAGTATATATGTATATAGTATATTTCAAAATATGTTGGACTTGTAACTAGCGGCGGCAGCTGTACAGCAACCAATCATAAAGTCATCTCCACTTGATAGCCGACAGCTAATTTGCATGTTGATGCGACTGCCACCAGCTTCATACTTGTAGTTGGTTGGTTGTTGGTTATTAGTTGGTTAGTTGTCTGCCATTCATGGCACTGTCAACTCTTCATGCAACTGCTGTAGTCAGTTTTATTGTTAAAGTGTTGCCAACGTCCCCCATATATAAGTACATATGCATACATATATATATACATATATATGTATGTAAGCAGATCTGTTTACGGAGCTAGTCCGACAAGCAGTAACTGTTTTGTTGTTGTATCAATGCAATTTGATTTAGTTATAAGCATTGGATTTTTTCGGATTTTTTGTTAACATGAAAGGCGAAAAAAAATTCAAAAACTTTAGCCAGCCCTATAATAATGGAATATCAGCGATAAACATATTTCAATCAGTTTCTCAAGATATTGAAGTTTTAAATCGGTGACGTGCTAAATAAAAAGACCATCCCGTAACCCCCAACATAAGCAAGCATTATTGAAGAAAGGATCATGTTGGGCCAATTACTGACAATCCTTTATGCTTTGAGCTAAAATGTGGATGAAAAACATTTCAACTTGTTATTGTTAGAGTTTCAAACGTGGTCATTTAAGGCACATTTAAGCTAATGTTATACTATATTTATCAATTACTAAATTTGATGAAATTGCCAAATTGCCAAAAGTTGTATAGGTCTAAAGTGGCATGTGTTATTGGAGTGACTGTCCTTTACTTGTATATGTAGTTGGATTCTATTGATGCATACTGGCTTTAAGATGGACTTGTAGAGCAGCAGTTTTCTTGTCAGGCACAATCGTTGGATTTTTGTTTTCTGCGAAGAAACAATTAAGCTTCAACTCAGTCATGCACCGCCGACCTTAATGCGCAACAAAAGGGTCCATCTTATTGATGTTGGGTTCCCAGAACACTACACAAAAGGAGCTTGTTCCCCATAAAAGGTACAAAAGGATAAAGAGAAAAAAACTGAAACGACTTCCATGTATGGGAAGGACTTTAAAATTTCGTTGCACCCTTCTTCGCTTTTAATTCACTGTGCGCCACTATTCTACAATTTTGTAATTCATTGGCAATACAAGTAGTGCGAGTATATTTGGGTTGGGTGCGTTCGATTTCCATTTGCGATCAAATCAAATAGTTGTGCATTGCCGGTCAATATTTTGTTTGTGTTTCTGTGTTGTTTAGCTTCGCTTGTTGTGGTGTATATTGAGATTGCATTTGGATATTTATTTTGTCAACAAAGCACAGTGTATGGGATATGTATGTGCCCGCCCGCTCACACCCACAACATGTTGCCACAAATTGCGAATGTGAACTATTCAAGTCAGACAACTCGACGTCGCGACGGTGACATGCGCTGTTTTTGTTAATTATTTTATTTGCTGTATATTTAGCTTTAAATGGGCTGTCACATTGACGGGTTCGGAAGCGGGGTGCTACCCAAAACACATTGTCAGATTGTCAGGTAACAATAAGCCCAATGCGGAGCGCTCGACACCCACGCGTCCAAACGAAAACATCCCGCGCCTCTAATAACTTTTCCCGTTTGTATATACACATACGTATATATATATATACTAATATATGTGTGTGTGTATACGCGTTTTTTATTTTTACAAAGTGTTCATGAAACTGACAATGAAGCTCGTTAAATTCGTCGTTTCACCACATTGTCATGAAAATTATGTTGAAATAAATATTTAATGCCTTTTCATTGTTATGGTAAATTTATTTTTAGCGCAAACAACAATCAACAGCCAGCCTACATGTCCTCCTCATCATCGCTCAAGCCCACAGCCTTATCAGGGTAGAATTTCTTCAGTATGCGCTGCACATCGGGAACCAATTGCTCAAAGGTGGGTGGAAACTTATCGCGACGCGGTGGTCCGCGATTCAGCCCAGACCTGCAGAAGTGTCAGTAAAATATTACATATACATATATTGATTTTATATACTCTATAGGTATAAGGAAGAGATAAGGGATGTATTACTTTATAGAGAATACCAACCAAATCTCATGCATTGATGTTCGCGCATTCTGGCAGAATCCGATTTCAAAGGCTCCGTCACGTGGTGCTTGTTTCCCATTCTTGTTACGGACTAACTGGAACTGACGTTCCGGAATGCGCTGCTTCATAAATTCTCCGCATTCCTCCGCCTTGACCGCAAATATCGGACACTCGTGGGTATGCTCGATATAGATCATAGAGCGCTCCTTGGTGAAGTACTCGTCCGATGCCCAGTCGATGTCCTTGGCCTTTTTCTTTTTAGCTTTCGGCTTGGGAGGCATGGCTGGAAGTTGAAAAACATAAACGTGTAGATATGTGGATTACACTTTTACATTTTCACTTTGAAATTTTGCAATTTTCGGGAAAGTTCCATACACATTTAACAAATATTTGAAATGTACTTGCTTGTGATGTTTATGTCAAGGCTTGGAATTGTTTTGCCTCGAGTTTGTTTCTTAATTAATATTAAATTAATTAATGTTTGTTGGCCAATGATTGATAGTCTTTGGGCTGGCTATGTGCGTTTTGGCGCATCTTCTTCTTTTGGCACAAACCGAGGGGCATAAATCACTTGAGAGAATTTTTTAAGTGCGCAGCCACTCATAAAATCAACTTAAATCGCCTGCTTTCTGCGTATTTCCAAAGCATTTCCAACCATTAGCCGAGCTATTTTAAAATGCATGAGACAAACAATAATAACAAAAACACACGAGGGGCACCGTAAAAAACATTGTTGTTCATTTTGCACTGTTGACAGACAGCGCAGCCGTTTGAGAATATTATCAACAATAACAACAAATTCTCACACAAACAAATGTTCAATTTTAATAATACGAGTATGCGCGGCACTTACAGACAAACACAAACTACTTGTACTATATATAGTACAAATAATGCTCACAATCAAAGCAGCACGTACTTATGTAAAAATATATATCGCTTACTATTTGGAATATTCTCATAAGTAATAGTATTACAAACTTCTTCTATACTAAACTTCCTTATACTTAACAGCTCGTACTTAAAGTTTCTTTTATTTTAGATAGAACATTGAATAAAACTATACAGAGCAAACAATGCTACTTATGTAGCTAGCTTACTTTTTGGAATATTCTCGTGAGTAATTGTACTTGTATTACCAACAATTTGCTTTAAAAAAAAAAAAGAATGATATTCTATTATTTTACACTAAAATTCTTAATACTTGATAGTTTAAACTTAAAGTTTCACTTCCATTAAATATATTTAAATATATGAAAATTTCATTCAAATGTATTTCCTTTTATTTAAGATTGAACAACATTTAAGATTGAGCGACATGCAAAGCCACACGAAGCCTAGGTTAAGGGTTAAGGGTCGGCTTCTACTTGATCTTTGGTATTTTTATAGTAAGTATATGCTTAACATACTTAGTTACCCTTGTCGTAAAAATTTGTCTCGTGTGTGTACAGCCTTTCATGGTTTCATTGCATAAAAAATGAATCAAACAACGGATCAGCTCCTCTTCTTTTTCCCAACTGTTTCTTGCATTAGATAGAACTATAACCTTGTAAGCTTTGTATTGTCCTTTTCCGGTTTTATTAAGGTTTTATCTCGACCTATATTACGTTTTGTATAACTACTGTATCACCAAATATTCTATTCTATTTTACTTCATACAATTTTACAATGACTTTTTATCAAATGTAGAAATGAATTGTTTTGGTAAAATTAGTTATAAGCTTTCCTTTCAATTTTATATTTTTACTTTGATTCAACCTATTGAGTCTGAAATAGATTCTCTGAAATGCGCGTTATGTATGTGTAGCAAGCATTTTTACTTTAGTTATATGAACACATATGCATCTATTCCAATATATTTACATATGTACACACATAGTCATAGTCGCAGGCCAACTTTGCCTTTGGGCTTATTTATTGGATTTTCAACCATTATTCGAGCAATAGTGCGACCCATGCCCATCCGGGAGCACTCCATTGTGAAAATGCAATTTGCAAATGAACAATCATAAAATGTCAACAACAAACACTCAGTATCTTGGCGTATTCTGGCTTTCGCTTTCCATGTACGTACGAGTATGTAAAATGCCGGCTTGGAGGCAATATTCGATTGTGATCTGGCCCAACACTGTTCAATACATATGTGCTACATACATACGTATGTACAAGTATAGTGTATAATATGTGTGGACGGTAGATAAAGAGAACACTCGTACATACTATTTCATGCTCGTTGTGTGCGTCGGCAGGTCGCGGCACAAAATATCCAACAGAAATAATAATAATAATGTTAAATGTTGGCGTCAGCAGCAACGCACGCAAAAATTTAAATAAATTAAAATGCGGCGCATATGGAAACATACACGAGAGCATATACATAGATATTTCTAGTATTTATACATACGGGTGTGCATATACTTTGGATATATTTTTAAAAACTCAAAACGACAAATCTTGGGGCACCGACACACTCACCGATGGCGACGTCGACGTCGACATCGCTGTCAGTATACATATCTATATGAGTGTTGCAGCGACAGCTGCTCGAGAATTTTGAAATACAACAGACGCCGACGTCGTCGTCGACGTCAGCATCACCGTCGGCGCCAACCATGATCGGTTGCAGGCTATGGGCGCCCGAATCAGATCGTTTAGTGCTACGTCGCGTTTCAGAGCGCCCAGGCACAATTGCCAACGTCAGACGCGTTCGGATTTACGAAAACATTTTCAATCAGTATTCATATTTCAAAGCCCCTTTACATAAGCCTAGGCGAAGTGAAAGTGAGTGAGAAAGCCAAAGGCAATTGCAAAACTACAAGTAAAGAAAAAGTCGTGCATTGAGCGCAGCTTTAACTTCCTGACCAATCCAGCATAGCTGTCAGATACAGCACCAGCCATGCAGGTCTTCGATAACAATATGGTAAGTGAAATGTCAGTGCAAGTTATTGCCATTGTTACTCGCTTGTTTACTTTACCAAAGCCAAATTTATTGCGGTTTCGCATGCAAACAAAAGTCCAACTCGAAACCCCGATCTGCGCTTACACTTAGCTGTGGCTGTGCGTATGTTCTTGTGTGCCTAACTGCGTGTGTGTGTGTATGAGTGTGAGTGTTTGTGTTAGGTACACACTTAGCCCAGTTTGCATAACCCAGAAATGCCAATAGACAAATACGCGGGCCAAAATTTGGTTTATTTTTGCCAGGCAACATAGCGTTAACGCCCTTTTTGGCCAACTGCATAAAAGGGTTTGCCCTTTGCATGATTGTCAGTTTGTCGGTTTGTTAACAGACAGGAAACCATGCGGTATGTATGCGCGCCGCCAAATTAATTACAAAAATCTACTTAATGGCTGCGATCCAAGTGGGTCAACGTACAACGTGTGAGCAATTGCCGACGAATGCCGGCATTGCAGGCACACACACAACAGCTCTTCAAAATAACGAACACTTAGTGCTCTTAGACTTCAGTTAACATTCGAAAAATGTGGCTAAAACAGACTGGCTTTTAAAAACTTGATCAAATTTTAAAACGTCTTTGGTTAACATTCGAAACTCGGCTCAAACAGAATGTCCGTGAAGGACTTTTACAAATTATGTCAAATTTCAAAGCGACTTCTCTTAAAATTTGCAAAATGTGAAGTTAGAAACTCGGCTAAAACAGACTGTTAGCAAATAACTTTTACTTTACATAATTTGCAAACTTTATTATAAAAAAAAGTGTTCAAAATATACTTAATTCTTGTAAAAATCACAAACACTTTTCCGTAAGTTGATTGTTTCTCTTCACATGCACCTGAAAATCTGCCTGCTTACCATTTATGTAAACATAATTGTTAGAATGGTGTGTTCCGTTCCGATTGATAAGCGTTTCGATTGCTCCAAATTAATTCGGAAACTATTTAAAGTATGAATAAAATATAGTATGTAATAAAATATATATAGTATATACAGTATGCTGCCTATGCCAATAAATATAAATAACAAAAGGACAACTAAATAAATAAAATAAATTGTACAAATGTTTGGTTTTTAAAACAAGTTTTGAATAAATCCAAAATCTTTACTTTTTTAATTGATTATCTTAAAGTAACTGTTAAATTTAACTCGAGATTCAATTGTATGAAATATTTTCGAATTACTACCCAAATATTGTGCGGATAACTCGATTAAATTAAAGTCTTAAAAGTTTTATTTTAAGCACTCTGCAGCATAGAACTAATCGAATCAATGCACTTCGAGTATACTTTTATGACTTGTACCAAGACTTTCTATCAAATCGCAACAATTCCAAAAATACTTTTCGAACTTTCTTACACATACACACACACACACACACACACACTTGGTACGTTCAGAACAGAGACATAGCTAAAAATATATAAGTCTTTATGTATAGTGCGAATGTATATTCATATATCCGTCTTATTAATAAATGGCCAAATGACAAACAAACAAACAAACCAACTGATTTACCGAAGCATCCACAACTTTTTTTTATGTACTCAGCGATTTTTGGCAGCCAAACAGACAAATCAAGCTAATAAATTGCCTTACATTTGCATTTTGTATTTTTAAATCGGCCATATAGCTAAAAATTCTTTTCTATATACCTACAAGTATTCCGAAATGCTACTTTGGAAACAAGAAAAAATATTTATTAGGGCTTTAAAACCGCTCATTATAATTACTTTTTGTGGGCTGGAAAATCTTACATTCCTGCCTAGGTACTGAGTCGTAAGAAAATGAATAAAAATTAGCCGAGAAACAGAGAATTCGGTGGCAAGGTCAAATAACATGTGTATTGTGTTTGGTGGTATTTGGCGTCAAGTCAAGTATCGAACACTAATACATGTGTCGATTTGTATTTCAATTTGTTTCTGACGAAGGTAAAAATAGCAACAACGCTATCGGCCTTTTACACATTTACATGAATCAAGAGTTTATTTACGAGCAAATAAATCAATTATTTTATTTATGTACATGCCAACATATGATCAATTCACACCGTTTTCCGTTTGTAAATATGGGAGAGAGAGAGATAGTATTTATGTACATATGTGTTCAACATCGATAAACTATGTCAGATCTATAGACCTGTTTATTAAAGTCAAGTGAGAGTGGCACCAAATTGATGGAAACTGACTGATGCCATTTGCAGCTTGACAGATAAAGTTGCATTACTTTTTTACATTTTTCCACTATTATTTATAACCACCTTCTTTCTTGCATATAGCACAAATTCTACCAAAAGTACATTTAAATTTAAAAATAGATTGCAAATTAGTTTGCCAGAGCGAAATAAGTAGCTGAGACAAATAACACAAAATATGGTTTTTTTATTATTTTTAAATAAAAACCGTTCATACATTTTATAAAAACGAGCGCCCATTGTTATTTATAATATTAACTATACAGAATTCTATGGAATTTATCAGGTTTTGAAGCTCTTCAAGTTTAACTTTGGGATACTTTATTTATTTTTTGTTATTTGAGAGAACTCCCCAAAGGTTCTTATGGAAACGCATCCGGCTTGGCCCCTTATTGCTGGAAAAACGTGATGTACGACCCAAAAAACTTTTAGCAATAAAAGAAAACATCTGTCCCAAATTCTTAAAATTTTCCTCAATGGACAATTTCCCACCAGCAAAACGAGAGAATTTTGAAGCTGATTGCTTTAACTAATATATGTATAACGGGAGATATCAAATACACCACCTGAATAATTATATTTAACAAATGCGTGGCGGATTCAATAAAACATAACTTTATTTTAGCGCGCTTAGAATTTATCGTTTTGTAGAACAAACTTAGCCGAAACCACACCAGAGCTGAATAACAATAATTTATACGTCATCATCTATTTTAGAACAGTTAAAATGGTTGGTAAGAAAGTAATAACAAAACTGATGTTTGTTGTATTAAAGAAGAAGATCAGTACTACTATTTAAATATATTTAGCGATGCATTAAAGAAGTCGGAGTTCAGCATTTTGAAACACATTCAATGGGAAATTAAAATCGTTTATGCAACAAAACAATTAAATGGTATTTGAACATTAATAAACACCAACAGATACAGCAATAAAGGACAAGCCAATTTATTTCGAAAGAAACCAGCAATAGCCCATAAACGCCTCAGAAAAAATACAATGCCCCAACATTAAAAACATTTCGAGGTATTTGGTAGGATAAACAAAAATAAACAGCAGGCAGCCGATTAAATAATGTGAAAATAATTTGATTAAACAACATTAATTAACATGAACAATGGAACAGTTGATACATTTGCGCACAGTTAGCATTGAATATGTATTTAAATGTTCATTTCTATACTCTATAACTAAGAGCTACAAGAGTATATTGGGTTTGCGGAAAGTGAAAAAAAATGACTAAAATAAATCAGGCAACACAAAGCATATATATTTTTGGTCAGCACGACAAGACGAGTCGATCTAGCCCTGTCTATCCGTCTGTATGAACCCCTGGATCTCAGAGACTATAAGAGATAGAGACACCAAATGTTGTACACAGATATCTTATCATGTATCCAGTACGAGTTTGTTTTATTTTATGTATGCACCACCCACTCCCACTGCCGATTTTAAAGGTAGCTGTAGCCATAAGTGCAATTCCCACTCAAGCACAGACACAGGTATTTCACAGACAGAGTATTTCAAAGTCTTCAGCTTTTCCACCTGCTTCTTAAATGTCAACGCTGGCTGGGGGCTTTTTCGAATGAGCAAGCATGTGTTAATGAAGCGGAATTAATTTGTAATTTCTGGTTTTTCCATTTTCAGCGCCGTGCCTCGCGTCGCGCGTCACTGAGACGCGGCTCCATTTCGGCACTGCCCCAAAAATCGGCGGAGATACCTTGGGATATATTTGAGCGTCTCTTCATGCCGTTCCTTTTCTGTCAGGCAGCTGCCATTGTCAGCTCGCATCTGCTGCATGCGTTGGACATATCGCACATCTCGACATTTGCCGTATTCGTTTGGTTTGCGCTGTCCACTGTGGGTGCCGTGCTGTTCTACCATTTTGTAAAGGTAAGTTGACAAGTGCATACTTGTAGACCGCAGACAAGAGGGAGACAGGGAAGAGGGAGAGGGACTGCACGCACAGTTGAGTGTCACACATAAGGCGGACAGTCTTGGATATGCCACAAGACCAATGCAGACACTCTAATCCTTTTAGCACAAGCCCGCCTGTGTCATCTGCCTGCCTCTGTGGTCAGAGACGCAAATCAGAGACCGCAGCCAGACCCGGCCAGGCCAAAAGGCAACCTAAGCAGCTGCCAGAGGTTTCAGCTTAACATGCCTGGCAGCATAACTTGCCCATACAACCATACATACATACTACATATTATGCACACACACATACATATATATATATATATATGTGGGCCGTAACAAAAAATTTGCATGTTACAAGTGCCAAACCACAAAGCAACAAAAGGGCAAATACGACCGGCAGTTGGGTTAGGACGGGCTGCCAGCTTTAGACAAAATAGGAGGCAAAACAAATCACTAACACTAAAAATAGCTAAGCCAACTACAACAATAGCCAACTGGTTTAACATGAATGTTATTTTTTCTATTTCTCTTTTTCCGTCCCGTTTTCTTCTGTTGGACAAAAGGCACATTAATACCCTTGGCTCGCTTTCTTTTGATATTTCAAACAAATACACAGTACGAAATGAAAATGAAAATGCAAACAAATAAATAAGTAGCAGAGATAACAGAGCAGCTAAGAATAGAGTGTTGTAGGAAAAGACTGTGGTGAAAGCAATTTTATGTAATGAATATAAATTTGAGCTGAAAATAAGTGCTTGTGCAAATTTTAAAGGCACTCCAACAAAAACGATTCGAGTGCAAGGCAGCCAAATAAGTAGAGAAAGATAACAAAACCTATTTAAGTGGGCAGAAGTGGCACAAGAATAGAAGAATAGCGCTCGTAAAACTCACAATAGAATTAAATAAAAATAAAATAAATTGAAAATATTAAATTATAGTATTTTGGTGAACTTGAAACAATTTCTTAATGAAGGCGTGTCATCAGATTTTTGTACAATATTCAAAACATAATACATGCTCATCATTTCAATTTCAAATCTAATAGCATAGTTTTAGTTTATATTAATATCTGTATAATTCATTTAAATTTCTCTGATTTTGTAACCTTCTGATATTCCGAAATCAGTGCACGATTTGGAAGACTTTCGCATCCTACTATAATTACGTAGTATCGGACAAGGGCCTCATCAAATGAGCTGACATGCATAGTTATCCTTATGATTTACTGAAACAACCAACTAATTTCAGCAGCTCATTAGGTCAGCAAAGATTACAAATAATATTATCAATAAATTGTGGGAGCAGCCAATGCTACTTATCGGTCTCACTCGCCACATTAGGCATATGTATGCACATATGTGTATGTTACATTTTATGGATGGATAGGAGCACATAAATAGAGCTGAGAGCGGCGAGAAAGCAATGCAACTCATTGTATTATTTCCTGTGGTGCCATCTTTTATACTTGTATTGGCAACATAAATTCCACGCATAACGTATGCGCAATATATTGCTCACAGCCTGCTGGAAGCATACTTTCAGGCGTTGCCTAATAAATGTTTATACATACGTATGTATGTACATACTTATAGATGCATAGGACACGTACATATCTATTCAGTTAGCCAAGTGAGTATGTTGTCTTTAGCCAACTAAATATGCGCATTCCTTCCACATGAGTGCTCCACGCTCATCAATTTCTATATAAAGCTTGTGCGTAATCGGCACGCTATTTCTTCATTTGCAACGCTCCATTTGCAGAATTACGTTACACACACACACACACACAAACACACACACACAAGTACATGTAGAAGGATGTGCTCAGGCAAAAACTGCGTGCATCTGCAATTGAGCCTCAATTAGTATGCGCTTTAATTAGTTCAACTGTTGGGTGACATCGCTGACACTTGCCATTTGCTGCCCGGCAATTACGCGTGGCGCGATTTAACAGCTGCCGGTTGATATAAAGGCTATACTCTGGCTCCAATACACTCAAAATAAAAAAACGAATTTATACATGAACGACGAAAAAGTATGCTAGTTTTCACAACATTTAAGTAATATGAAAAAAGTAATTGACATAGAGATGAACTATTCGTAATGGTGTCCTAAACATTTGGTGTTCACTTACTTGTACTTTACCTATAAGTAATCTAAGTAAATTAAAACCTATATCGTTTTCTTGTTTTCTAAAGCTGTTTTAAGTGAAAAGAGATTAGTTGCTTATCGATAATCAATTTTTAATAATATCTCACTATGCTCTAAAGATTTCATGCAGCATAAATTGCTTCCCAAATGCAATTCGTAGTCGTTCTTATTACGAATCCCTAAAATTAAATAAAAACAAATTGGCGGGTTCCGACTTCGCTTTTAATCTGATGTAACTTTATATTATCTCATTAATATTTTTCGAAAACAATTCTATTAGTAGGCTGTTTTACAAACTCATGCCGATTAATCGTTCTACGAATCTCAATATTCTTGTATTTATAAATATATTTTTGTAGGCTTCATAACGCTGTCTATCAGCATTAAGCCGAACCAATCAGATTTGTCTCCTACCTATATTTATGCCTGTCATAGAGAATTTGCATCGAATTGGATATGTGATCATCGTAGATAAATTATAGGCCTAGAAATGCTAGATTACTTAGGATTGTAGAGTGAGGGTTGTCGACCAGCTTAATTAACTAATAATAATAATTAATTAATTAATTAATAATAACAATTTAATCATTTTTGCAAGCAGGCTTTGGCTTACAGCCTACACCATAGTTATTGCACAGAATGCTTCCTATGAAGTCGCTACAACAAATCTTATGTAATAAGCTGGCCAACATTAAGCTTATAATGTTGCAAAGGACTGTACTCTTGGCCATGATAAGACAAACTAAGTACCTTAAGCATTAACCATAGTCAGGGCTGAAATGAAATGTGCAATGATACAAAAAGTAAATACGCCTTAATAAACAGCTCAAGCTAATACAATTACGCAGGCGTCATCTTCATCTTATGTCGTAAATCGACTGGCGCAGGAAGACGGGGTTATTTGAGTTAATCAAATGCGTCAGGACACGTCGGAATGCCATGCACATGACCTTCGCCATTTCTTTAACTTCAAGGCAAGCCACACAAACGCACACACGCACACACGCACACTGGCATACAGACAGACTCCTGCAGATATACACAACGGTAAACTCTACGCACCACGCGGCCATTTTGCAACTTTCTGCCACTCCACACCTCCGCCAGGCATCTTCTCCATGCGCAGCAGCTCACAGTGTTTCTATTTTTAGCCACAAAAAACACTGTTAAGAGCAGAGCGATGTCTGTGGTCGCTTAGTCGGGTTCTAGCTAGCACAGCTGGCTAAGCGGCTTCAGTGCCAAAGGTGACGCCTTCTGAATTCGTCACGCGAAGCCGCCGCGCTTGTCCTTGCCTTTGATTATGTATATACATGCAAAATGACCTTTTGTTTCATTCATTTTTATTTTAATATTTTTGTTTTTGATATCGCAATTTTTTAAAGCGCACTTTCTTCTTCCAATTGAAACACACCTATACTATTCTTCGACTGACGCAACACTGTCGATGCCGCAGAAAAATTATTAAGCCGCAGCTTATCTTGACTCAGTCTTCACAGTCATATTGTTTTTGTGGGGAAATTGAAAGGTAGAAAGTGTGGATTGAATGCTGCGGCTCTCAACCTAACCTCCCAAATGGCATTCACCAATTATTGCTCGTCATTTCATATATTTTATATATGAACTGCAGTATAGTACAGTATACATGAAATCAGGAATTCTAGTAGCTTAGAATATTATTTGCAATTTACATTTCCAAGTGTATACTTTTGGAGTTCGCAAAAAAAACTTCTGATACAACTGAATAAAAATTTAGCTACATTATTATTATGTTTGAAAACTAGCAAATGCATTAAGTAAATCCTAGTTAGTCAACTGTATTGGTTTGGCCTTGCAGAGCATGGGCAGCGACTTTACTTATGGCTATAACTTTCTTCAGAATTGACAAATCATGATGAAACGTAACATACGGACACATAATCACTAACTAGATGTAATTACCAAATTCGAAATTCCAAGAATTAGGGTAAACCACTAATAGCGAAGGAGTGGGGGGTGCATCGAAAAAAAACTCAATCTCGTAATTTCTCGGAGTTACTTGTAGGAGAATCTGGATACCAAGTTGGCTTATTCTAGCTCTTATATTTTCTAAAATCCTTGCGTTCATACAGACAGACGGACAGACAGACGGACATGGCTATATCAACTCGTCTCGTCATCCTTATCAAGATCCTGGGGTCTGCCACGCCTCCTTCTGCCTGCTAGTCATTATAATCAAATTAAAAGTAATAATTTATAACTTTTATGTTAGTAGTGCACTCTAAACTACTTAAACCACATATGACAAATCGTTTTGGGCACTTAGAGTTTATAGTACCAGCCTTAAAGAAATTAACGTAATCACAAGCTAATTGATATTAATTATTATTGATTACTGATTTTACCTGGTGAGTGATGGAATAAAATTTGTGCTTGCATATCAGTTTTAAATTCAAGTTACATACTTAGCTGCGACTGTGTTATTTCTATCCAAAAATACTTAAGCTACAATATATTTACCAATCAGTTAAAATAACCAATTACCAGAGAGAAATCAAATAAAACTTATCAGCCTAAAGTTTTATATTTTCTCAGTTTTGTTTTTAATATATAGAAACAATGAACTTTTAAGCAGTCATTATTAATCGTACAAATTAAAAAATTGTGGTTTCTGAATTCTTTAATCATCAATTTAATCAAATTAAAAGTAATAATTTATAACTTTTATGTTAGTAGTGCACTCTAAACTACTTAAAACACATATGACAAATCGTTTTGGGCACTTAGAGTTTATAGTACCAGCCTTAAAGAAATTAACGTAATCACATGCTAATGGATATTAATAA